GGGGGGGGGGGGGGGGGGGGGGGGGGGGGGAGCCAGTAGGCTTACCACCCTGGAAGAGTTAGCACTTTAGTCTGAAACTGAAGGCAACAATGTCTGGGTTTGAGGCAGTCAGGGAATAAGAACGCTCTTGCTTCCTTGGGAGAAGGGTTGGCATTTTTATTCCACTCAGGTCTTAACTGATGGGATGAGGCCCACTCCCATTAAGATCGGAAATCTGCTCCATTCAGTCTACCAAGTGAAATGTTTAGCTCATTCTGAAACACCCCTGCAGAAACACGCAGAAGAGTTTGACCAAATACCCAGGCATCCTGTGGCTCAGTCAAGTTGATGCATAAAATTAACCATGGCATTCCCCTTGAGGCTCCAGAGGACACGTGGCCTGCTGACACTTTGATTTTAGACTTCTGGCCTCCAGAACTGTGGAAAAATAAATTTATGTTATTTTTAACCTCCAAGTTTGTGTTGACTTTTTACGGCAGCCACAAGAACTTAATACAGAGTTCCTGCTCACCTTTCTATATTCCTCATTTTCTGTATACATGATCTGTGCTGTGCCAGTATTCTTTCTCTTGGCTTTTCCATATAACACTATTATTTGAAATCTTTCCCATACATATCTGTCATAGTCTTTTTTCATGTATACATAGCATTCCACCCTGTGGATGATCTGTTAAAGTTTCTACTCTGTTCCTTACTGGCAATACCACGGTTGTGGTGTAGGGTTCCGTTCTATGGATTTCTGTGAATGGATCCACTTGATCCCTTACTGGTGATAGTGCTTTTTTCCAATCTTCTACTACCACAGACACACTACCAGAGGGCATCTTTTCCCATGAGGTATGCATGTGCAGACACACCTGCAGACAAATTCTCGCAGGTGGATTGCCGTCTCAGAGTGTGTGTGCCTCTCAAATGTTTAAAGGCATTGCCAAATTGCCCTCTGAGGAGGTTATACCACAGATTCCTTTTTTAAAGTACATTTTTTTCTCATTATAAAAGTAATCTTTTAGTAGAATTCTTAAGTGTGATTTGATTACACTCTGTAACCAAAATCTTTTCTAGCAGAACACAGTCGATGGGAAAATAACATCAATTACCTGAAATTTTCTTGCCAGCCTGGCTCGATTGCCCCTTTCCTGTTAAAGGGGGGATTCTTGCACTTGGTGTCTGGTTTTCCTCTGGGTGGTCTCTGCTGGGGGCTCTAAGGCAGGGTGTGATGCTGCTCTTTGAGACAGGACAGCCCTTCGAAAGGCTCCCCCCATATCAGGGACTAATCCCAAACTCCCACATCTCTCAACCCAGGGTTCCCTCTGCACAAAGAAGGAAAAGGGAAACAGAAAGTCACTTCCCTTTCTGGAGAATCCTATATTTAATGTCGCCATCCGTCTGTCCTTGTTCTTCATGTTCCTAGGCTAGCCATTGGCTCAGAGAAAAGTTACCTTTACCCTTTTTGTCCAGGGAAGGATCTCACTCCTGAGTTGTCACCCAAACCCCACCTATCCCTCGTCCCTCAGGCAGAGGAGGCTCTGTCCCCAGCCCTGGGCCTGGATCAGCTGCCAGACAGACAGCCCCCTCCTGGCCAGCCCCCCGTGGTGGGTTTAGGGCTAGAGGAGCCCCTACTAGCCACCCTGTCCAGGCCCTCACTTTAAACGTGGGCAAGCCCAGGGTTGGCTGCAGCTCAGTGGTAGAGCCCTTGCCTAGCATGCACATGGCCTTGGGTTCCATCTCCAGCACTGCAGACAGAGACAACGAGGAGAGGGAAAGAGGGAGGGCAGGGACGGAGGAAACTCAGAACTCAGGATCTTGAGAATAAATTGACTGGTCCAAGACCATGCCCACAGTGACCACTAATCCCCTGCTGGTGAAAAAGGTTGAACTCTCCCTTTGAGATAAAGGCCTGGGTGAGGCCCTGCGTTCCTCTCCAGCACCATCTCCCACTTCTCTTTTCCTTATCCTAATGGCATGGAGGGTTCAGAGGAATTTGGTGTCTCCTTTCTGTGACTCCTCATTGTCCACATCCCCTCACGTCTCTAGACAGTACCTCAACACCAGCCCACACTGATACCCACCCCTTCCCTCTTCAGTTTGCCTTTCTCATTTTGGTGACTCAGCTATGTATCTCTAGAAGCATAAAGCTTGTTGAATGAATGAACAAACTAGATGCTAGGTGACCGTCGCTGACCTGAAGTAGAAAGAGAGACAGAATCCTGGGTTAGATGAGAAGAACTGAGGATGTTATTTACCATCTATATGCCATTGAACAACGTCTTCCCTTCACAAGGCCTTAGTTTCCTCACTTATAAAATGATGGGATTTGGCTGATTATTGATCAGCTGTCACTGTGTAACAAGCAACTATGGACTCTCAGGGGCAATGAGTATTGCACACGCAGGTTGTCTGGGTGCTGATGGATCCAGCATGGGCTGGAATAGGACGTCAGCAGGGCTTGGCTCTGTTCCATGTGTTTCTCATCTTCCTTGGTGTCTTAGTCGCTTTCTTACCTGATACGATTTAAGGGAGGAGAGGTTTATTTTGGTTCACATTTCAGGCCGTGGTCAGCTGGCTGAAGACAGGACAGCATGGCTGAGGGGTATGGCAGATGAAAGCTGCTCACAGCATGGAGGACAGGAAGTAGAGAGAGTGAAGGGAGGAGCGAAGGAGGGAGACTCTTCTAGCCACACCCCCAGTGGCCCAGGAGGCTCCACCTCCTAACATCACACTTAGCTATAAACTCATCACTACGAGTATCACACCCCTATGATCCAATCACCTCCCCAAAGCCCCACCATGAGTTCATGAGGCTTTGGGGGACATCTAGATATATAAACCATAACACTTGGGCCAGTGCTAGATCGCTTCTTGTGGCTGAGCTCAAAATTCAAGATCAGGAGAAGCCCTTAGCTTCTCTGGGGAGGATCTGCAGTGGATATGGCTACTGAGATGGGTGAAAACTATGGTCCAGTCAATCAGCCCCAGCCTACCTGCCTCTGAGATATTGCCATTAGCCTGTCCTTCTCTAAGTATATCTACCCTTGTCCTCCTGCCTGTTGAATAGCTCCATTCTTTCCCACCAGCTTGGACTCAGGTCTTTTCCCATAGATATTCTGTGAACCCAATTATGTCTCTTCTCCCCCATTTCAGCATGAAGCTTTCACCCTGTACAAAACCTCTGCTAAAATTTTCTTCCTCCTTCAGCAAATCACAGCTGCCCACTTTTTCTCTCTCAAGCCTGAAACCTGGGCATTAGCCTCTCTCTCCTCCCCTCTGAGCATGCATCAGGCCCTGCTAACTTTTATCCCAGCTGCTGCTAGGCCCTGCCACCTCTTTTCCAGTCCCATCACTCCTGCCCTGGCTTCCTCTCCCCCGGAGGCCAAGCCCTGACTTTCCAAAAGCATCCCTTATGCTGTTCCCTTCAAGAGCCTCATGACAGACAGATCTGACTCTCAGGAACACTTTGCTGCATCCTCACAGCTAATACAAGGGCCAGCCAGGCAGGAGATTTAAAATGGTGAAAGAACTGGGTGAGTGTTAGAGGTTGAATCATGTCCCTTCCAAAAAGATATGTTGGAGTTCTAACCCCTAATACCTTGGAATGTGACCTTAATTGAACACAGAGTCTATACAGCGATAATGAAGTTAAAATGAAATCATTAGGATGGCCCCTAATCCAATACGACTGATGTCCTTTAAAAAGGGGAAATTTGGACACAGAGACACCATAGAGGGCAGATCACATGAAGACACAAAGAAAACACCATCTACAAGAATGCCCAAGGCTGTCAGAGGCAAGAGAGGCCCCAAACAGACTGATCTCCACATCCCTCAGAAGGAATCATCCCTGCTGATACCTTGATCTTGAACTTCTAGCCTTCCAGACTGTGAGACAACATGTTTCTGTTGTTTAAATTACCTGGTTTGTGATACTTTGTTATGAGGCAGTCCTAGGAAGGGGAAGGGAAAGCATCAAACAAAACATTAGCACAGCAGGGGGAAGTGGTACAGGAGATGGCAGGGCATGGGGAGACTCTGAGAAACTGGAGAGCACACGACCTGACGAAAGTGAACGCTGGCTGGCTGTTACTGTATGGGATTGCAAGCCTGGCATAATCAGAGTTTTGGACTCTAAGGAACCTGGAAATTCAGATTTTTATGTGAAAATGCCTCATCTTTTAATTTTGACCACAGAGGCCAACCTTGTAGGTCAACCCAAGATGACCCCATAGGCAGGTACTCAGGCAGGAAGGATCTGCAGAAGGAGAGACAGAATGGAAGACCAGAGGTCTCAGGGTTGGCTGTGTGGCATGGAGCCTGATTATCCCTAGGAGTCACGTCCTCCAAGGCACTCCCCAATCCACCAGAAGCCCCTGGAAGGGAAGCGAGCTCCTTACACAGAGCCGCACACTATTTAGTTACAAAGGAAGAGACACACTGTTGGGTGCTTGTGCTCCACCTAGTTTCTATCTCTAGGTGAGGAGCAAGAGTGTGGAGCCCACCTCTGCTGCAGTAGGGGACACACAGAGCCTGGCTGACTATGTCCTATTGTGGGAACTCATTCATCTGTTCATCGGATGCATTTTCACACAGAACCAATCCAGGAAAGAGCAATGTCCTGGAACAGCAGGGGAAACATGATAAAGCCATGGCCCCTGGAGGGACGCCTTTGTTACTCTGCCCTGCAGTCATCCTTGCCATGGTCTCCTTGGGGGTGGAGGGCACTTCCTCACCCCTTGGCTTTAGGCCTACCAGAGGACTTACTGGTGGGGGTGGAAGGGTCGGCACCAAAGCAAACTCAGGAGGTCCTACTACGCGTTGCCCTGCAACTTTGTGTTTGCCCGGGAAGATCGCGCCCTGCTGGCCCACTGGTCTGAGGAAGATGAGACTCGTGAAGCTGGGTCACACAAACAACCCACAGTGAGACAGAGGTACTCAGCACCCCGTCCAGGCCAGCTTGCCTTCAGCTGATGCATGTGTGAGGAGAAAGAATTGTAGCTGGTAGCCACTGAGTTTTGGAGTCTTAGCCTATTACATAGCAATAGGTGACCCAAACTCGCCTCAGAAAGCTTCTACTGTAAGGGAAATAAGCCAAATCCCAGGCAACCAACATATGATACATGGGCTGATTGTTTTCTGTTTGGCACCTATCATAGGCTTCCCCCTTCCCCCCAACACCAAGATGTCCACATCCGAATCCCTGGAGCCTGTGGAAAAGTGGCCTTACCTAGCAAGGGAGGATTAAGACTCCAGATGACTTAAATTAGCTAATTAACTGGTTTTAAGGAGCGCATCCTGGATTATCCAGGTGAGCCTGATGTTGTCGTGGGGCCCTTAAATAGGGAAGAGGGAGGCAGAAGAAGTCAGAACCAGGGAGATGACATCAGCAAGACATTGCTGGCTTTAAAGATAGAAGGAAGCCAAAAGCCAAGGAATGCAGGAAGCCCCTAGAAGCTGGAAAAGACAAAGCAGCAGAGTCTCAGCCAGAGCCTCCAGGAAGGAACAAGGCCCAGCTGACACCTTGATTTTAGCCCAGGGAGACTCATTTTGGACTTCTGGCTTCCAGAACTGTCAGAGAACAGAGCAGTCCCCTCTTACCTTTGTTGGATACACTGCAAGACTCCAGAAGATGCCTGACATGGCAGGAAGTACTGAGTCCTGCATGTACTAGATGTTTTGCTACTGTATGTGCCCTGCAGCATTTCGGCATAGAGTTAGTCCGTCCTGCTATGTTGTATGCCCTGGTGTTGCCTTTTCACCCCCACTCATGTGCTTTGGTCATTATGAAATAAAGTGAGGGTTTCTTCAGCACAAGCATATTGATACCATGACACACACTCGGGCTGATAACAGGGACCCTCGACTGGGTGACTAATGGGCACGTAGCACTGCAGTATGGATATACTGGACGAAGGGAAGATCACATCTCAGATGGGATGGAATGGAACGGTCGGTGTAAGATTCACCGTACTTCTCAGATCAGCACACAACTTATAAATTGTTTATTTCTGGAATTTTCCACTTAATATTTTTAGACCACAGTTGCCATGGATGTCTGAAAGCATGGATAAGGGAAGACTACTGATAAGTGTGTATTTCTGTGAGTCACCGCGTTTGTGGCAATTTGTTACAGTAGCGGTCAGAAACAGATGCAGCACCTCTACCCCCCAGCCCCCATCCTCTCTGCTCTTCTCTCTCAGCTGGGAGGCTGAAGTTCTCTGGCTCAAGACCCTGCTCCCTGGCACTCTGGCTTACACTGGGGTCCAGCCAGTGGGAGGCCTCCTTGAGAAAGAGAGAGGCCAGACACCTCTCCTGGGCTCACTCCCGCCTGGGTGGTGGTTCTGACAGCAGCTGCGTCTCTGAGCACCTGTTGAACCACCCTTTTCCCTGCTAAAGCTCTCCCAGCTCTGGTCACACAGTGCCCCTTGTCCCCTTCCGCAGGACGGCACTGGCATGCTGTGTGGCTCATCCCTGCTGCTTCCATACGTCTTGTGGCTGCCCTGGTGACCCTGCCTGCATGCACCTCTGGAAAAGGAACCTTCACTGCACCTCTCCAAGTCCTGCCTGAGCAGCCTTCCGTCTGCTGCAGGAAGCCTGTCTGCTTCACAGGATGTGATTACTTTAAAGAAATAGGAGCTGATGCCTGGTGACTTACACAAGTGTAGAAGCACTTGAGGAAGAAGAGCATTTGACGTGGTGTTGGCAGTGCCTCCCGAGCAGGGAGGGAAAGAGGGATATGGAAGCAGCAAAGGGCTCTGAGCTTAGAGCCGGATCCAGAGGGCTTAGATTTTTCCACCTTTTTCCCATTTAATAATGACCTGGAGTGAGTCACCTGAGCTCCCAAAAACCCGTTTGTCCGTTCCTACAATGGGTAGCCATTGTAGCCGTGGATATATCTTCTAGGCTGATAGAAGAAGCAAACTGGCTAATGCTTGTTAGGAGCTTGAAAATGGTGACTGTTGGCCCACAGGGACATTCCAGGGTACAGGGCAGCACAAGCTCAAGGGGCAGCCATCAGACAGGTAAATCCTGTTCTGTCTTGGTTGTTTTTATCTTGCTGACTGCAACAGATGTACATGACTTAGGGAGCAGCCAGCAGCCAGAGTGCCTGCAAGACTGAGACCCTTCTCTGCAAGGCTGTGTGGGGAGCACACAGCCCAGAAGACATTTGGAATCAGGGTAAAACCGGATTCAATTCAATTGCCAGTGGGTTGCCACTGAGGACTTCTGAGCAGGAGTATGCCATATGGGAGAGGGAGAGAGAGAGAGAGAGAGAGAGGGAGAGATTTTAAGGGTCAAGGATCTTAGGAAAAGTTTCAAAGCCCTCTATGTCTTGCTTTCATTCAGCAAAGGGGTAAATAGGGGAAAATAGAAAATAGAGGAGAATACAAGGTGTTGTCTTTGGCCCTGACAGTAAGTCTTTTCTTGGGCAAGGTGCCTTCCAGCTAGAATTCCTTGCTAACCCAGTGGTCAGGAGTGGCTGGTAACAGGAAGGACCACTATGTTGGACACCTTGGGGCACAGGGAAAGCCCATCCTAGGCCTTGGACGGGGCACCTGAGTTGTGCTTATACAGCATACTGGAGACCCAGGAGCTGGGAAGATCGGCTTGGGGACCCTGATTCAGTCACAGCAGGCTGTTTGTGCCATTGAAAGTTTTACAAGGTTCACTTACAATCACTGGCCTAGAGGCTCCATTCCTTCCCTCTCTGGGAATAGAGTTGGGATGACCAGCCAGCCTCCTACCTTTAGCTAACTAAAGGTGCCTCCTTTTCTTCCCCTGTGTAAGGGAAAGAAGGAAAAACCTGGGTCAGTCAGCCTAGTTGAGCAGAGCCATCTGGTAAATGTGGCTGGTGGAAGCCATCCCATCACTTTAGAGGCATGGTGTATACCAAAGTGGCAAGATGAAAGCGCCAGTCTATGCAGCCCAGCTCCTCAGAGTCTGGCCCATACGAAGAGGCCAGTCTCCATTAAATCCTATCTTTGATTTTCCAAAATCTTATTTAGTGTGACTGTCATATATGACTTTGGCATCTTATAAAATGTTGTAGCTATTTTCTTAAAACAACTAATTGTGCCTATATTTCAATATTAGTTAGCATTTACTGTTTGGAAGAGTCAGAAACCCAACTCAGAGTGGCTCAAGAAAACAAAGAAACTGAAGTCCAAGGGTATAACCTGCAGTGTCTGGCGTGGATGGATCCAGACATAAAGACCCTGTCATTGGCACCCTGCTCCCTCTCCCCAACCCAGGTCTGTTTCCTCTGCACTCTTTGACAACCTCTTTCTCCGCAGTGGTACCCATCCACCCCAGATGTACATTCTGTAGACAAAGAAAGGAAGGGGAAAGGAAATGCCTTACTTTTCACAGATGTGGTAAATGTCCCAGAATGGTGCCTCTTGGCCTGGCCAGTGTTGAATGTCCACCCCGATGTCACACTGTCAGAGATGGCACACTCTGGGTGGCCAAGGTTCAACCAGATGCCCATCCCTGTCCTTAGCCCTTGAGATGGTGGTCCCAGAGAAAATGTATTCGGGGAGGAAAAGCGTGGACGCTGAGGCCAGCCCTTAGAATAGGGGTACTTTCATTTTCTTTTACCATTTTCAGTAGCCCAATGTGCCTTCTATTACAAGAATGTATGTATAAACATTTACCATTAATAGCATAAAAAAGTAGATCTGACTTAATTGGTTTGACTCTTGTTCACATTGGGTACCGGAGTCTAGGGAAGAAGTTATGACATGCATCTCCAGAGACCTGGACAGGGTGAGTTAAACCCATCTGCTTAATATGATGTGCCTGAAGTGACAGACAGCAGAGTCTTTGAACTCAGCAAGAGACCCTCACCTTTTGAAGTGTGGACAGTGTGAAATAAGAATGCCAAAAGACTCAGGTTCTGGTAGGTTCTGGGGTTCCTCGATCAGTAGGAAATGGGGGAAAAGCCATTACACTGCCAGCTGGGTTCCAAAGCTGTATTGGTCACAAGTGACAAAAACTAAATATAGACTGGCTGAAGCATAACAGTAATAGTGCTAATAATGGTTATAATCACAGTACCTTCCTAACCCACATAACTTCAGGTGTGGCTGCATCCAGACACTCAGCAAGTCATGAGGAAGCTGTAAGTTCCGATCTCAGGTCTATTTCTCTCTGCCTTGGTGTCATTCTCAAAACCTGAGCAACTTGAGGTTTATACCTCCGGCTCAACAATTCTAGCAGAAAGATAGGGCCCTCTTCCTATAAGGCCAGGACTCACTTCCATTGGACTTTAGGTTCCCTAACAGTTTCAAATTACTCCTGGTAACCAGGGTGATGGGACCCACACTGATTGGCCGAGCCTGGGATATGTCCCCCTCCCCCCAGTAATTGGCTCCTTCCAAAGCTCCGGGACTAAACCAGGGGGCAGGGAAAGGGACAATGCCTGCAGGGAAAAACAACAGCTGTCCCCATATAGGGAGGGGAGGGAAGGGGCGCATAGGGTTTGAAGCACAAAAGTGGGCTTCAGGCCAAGTAAGAGGAAAGCAGGTGGCGGAGGAAGAGTCCCAGGGAGGAAGAGAGGCAGGAGGCCGAAGGGCTGGCTTGCCTGGAGCCTGGAGCCCAAATCCTGGGCCACAGATGGTAGCATCCTCCCTAAAGATGCAAGGTCCTCCCGGCACACCCAAAGGCGGCCATGAAGGCAGGGCAGAGGCACACAGAGGCAGACTGAAGTCTGGGAGAGTACTTTCTGCCACCCTGAAGCAAAAGCTAACCCACCTCTCTAGGCAGAGTTCAGCCGCTTCCAGCCCCGGTGACCTGCACTTTGCCAGGAGCTCCTGATTGGTTTCACATCTTCCTGGGGTCACTCTCAGATGAGCAGGGTGAAGGGGACACTCCTTCCTGGATCTCCCAAACTGGGTCCCTGAGAGAGGGGCATCGCCAGAAGGCCCACCCTGCTTCTGGCCTTGCTCTAGACACTGAAACACAGGGTGAAGGAGACGGGCATGGTCCTGGCCCCAGGAGCACACTGTCTAGTTGGGGGCCAAGGCCATGCCATTTGTCTTTCCGCACAGGCCCTGCACAGAGTCTGGCTTATGCCCAGGCCTTCAGGAAATCTATGTGGATAGGACAGCCACATGGTGGAAATGGCTCTCGTGGCCCACAGGGAAAGGAGCTGCTTTTAATCCAGTCCAACCTTTAACTGGCTGGGTAACCTTCGCTTTGTCACCAACCCTCTCTGGGTCTCTAGGTTCCTCGTCTGTCAACCGACAAGGTTAGAGCAGCCAGTCCCCAAGTCCCTGTCCAGTTCTAACATTCTCTGACGCTCTGGCCAGCCTTTGCTGTCAAGATGACCCTCACTGTGGCAGCCAAACCTCTGTCCCAACCCTTCTGCCCCCCAAGCAGCCCATGGACCTCCTTGGTGGTCTGTGATGGGGCCAGCCCTAAGCTGGGGCAGAGCAAAGAGGCATGGAAGGCGCTGTAATTATTGTAAAGAGGAGAGTTTAAGTGTTTAGTTTTATGAGGTAGCCGGCCCTCTCTGTCAGCAGAAAGCTGCGAAGCTCCCAGGGTACGAGTTAATTTCCTCCGTGGCTCGTTTCCTTGCCCACCGTCATTTTTCCTCAGCTGCTTTATGGCTTTTGCAGCCATTTGGAACAGTGTGCGGTGGCAGTGGCTTCATGCACAGGAGTGGGAAGAGCCCTGTGTCCCTTGTACAAGGGCCTAAGGGTGGCCAGTGTATCCCTTCTGGGGTACAGTGGGACAAGTGGTCTCTGCACAGAGGACAGCAGAGTAAGAGGGAGGGAAAAGCAACAAGGCTTGACCAGGCTGTCCCCAACTGGGCCGCAGCCCCTGGCACCTCCTTGACAAGCTTGCAAGGAAGAAATCTAAATTAAATGATGGTCAGACCAGCCTTGTGCCATCCCAAGTGCCTCAATTAAACAACCATAGACTTTGCCCTCTGGCTCTCAGCAAGCAAGCTATGAGGCAAATGTACCAGCTGTGGCCTCTGAGAGACCTGGGTTCAAATCCCAGCCTCACCACTACCACATGACCTGGATCCAGCGACTTCACCTTGGCATGTTAACAGTACCTGCCTGGCGGTGCTGCTGGGATGGAGTATGAGAATATATGCAAAGCACCTGGCAGGATGACAGCACTCGCAAACGTTAGCTCACTTCCTGAGCCACACGGTCCCTGGGTGATTCTCCCCGCTCCTCTGTGTGCCATGGGAGACATCCCCAAGCTGGGAGAAGCAGCGGTTCTGAGTGTGTGAGCAGCCCCTTGCCCACATCAGGCCTGGCCTGCATATGGTATGGTCACAAGGAATACCCGAAGGGACTTCCAAGACAGCCTTGCAAGGTGCACATTGTCAGTCCCATGTCAGGATGAAGGACCTGAAGCGTGAATCGGCACGCCCAGATCTCCAAGCTGGTTGGAAGCAAAGCTGGGTGCCTGTTAGTTCCAAAGGGCACAGCAAAAATGGGCTCCCTCTTGCAGGCTATTTTTTTCCAGCCCAGACTAGAGATTAGCAGATGAGAAACTGCTACCTGATCCCACATCACTGGATGACTCTAAGGAATGCGGGAGATAAAGTGAGGGGCATTAGCTTGGGGTCTACAAAGAAAGAGACCTCTGGAGTCAGACCTGGGCTTGAGCCCACTGTGCCCCTGATGAGCTTGAGCAGATCTCAGATTCTTTGAGCCTCGATTTTCTCATCTGCAAAATGGACACTGTGGTTACTTCTTAGGTCACACAAAGGAGACTGAATCACAAGAGATGAGGCGTGTCTTATACATAGGAGAATATTGGGCTTATATTCTACCCAGATGCACTGAGAGAAGCGGGAGGCTTAGGGCTTCTTCTGGATCCTGCCAGCAGCACTTTGTTCAACCTTGAGCAAGTACTGGTCCTCTCAGCAAAGCTCTTTTAGGCCACAGATCCTTTTGAGACTTTATTAAGTTGCTGGTCCACTGCCCAGAAAAGTACACACAGAGGACCCCACAAAGTTGGCAAGAGATCAAAAAGGAAAGCGCAGGAATCAGGAAGACAAAATTCTTCCAAAGGATGTGGGTGATGGGCTCAAAATATCCAACCACTCACCTGGTGCTGGAAAACTTCAAGAAAGAAGCCAGAGCCGAGAAAGTAGATAAATATTTTTAGTATTATTTCTCTGGATGAGAAGAAATTTTGACTACTTGGATTTCAATTAACCACCAATTCCATTCAAATCCACAAGTTTCCTGGAAGCCAGGCAGCGTGGGACACTGCCAAGTCCTTCCACACCTAGCCCTACCAAGTCTTCCAGATTCTGCATTCCCCAAAGTGCAGGACCAAGGTGGAAAGATGATTGGAGGAGGTGTTGGGAGTGGAATTCAGTCACATCATTTGTGACTGGATCATTTGTGCAGTGAGAAAATTACTCCTGTTTCTCTCTAAAACCTCTCAAGGACAAAGTCTGGAGCCCCTGCTAGCCTTTAGCACCTCTCTGGCACTAACTGACCACCCTCTTATTTAGTGAAGAGTGAACCAGCTTCGCCTCACAGCCTTCTGCAGGCAATAGGCGCTTGCTCAAATTTCATGACATTGTTTTGTTTTTGTGGCATTTATTTTAACAGTTGTCTTCTATTTATGGCACACGATATTGGCTTTCCATTTATGGCAGTGATAAAAAAGCTTCTTTCTACATTTTATTTCTTTAACGATTTTTACAGGGGGCTTAAGGAAAGAAAAATATTAAGTAGCACAAGTGGGGCACCAAGATAACTACAGCTGTGACTGTGGACTATGGAGGATGGAAGCCTGGGAAATACTCATTCCCAGAACATGGATAGCTCACTGTGTGCCAGCACTGCACTAAGTACTGGGTAGCAGAGAACCAGGCAGCAGAAGTCCTGCCCTCCTGGAGCTCACAGTCTAGCTGTAAGGGAGGGAAGACGTAACAAATGCAGAAAACACCTGGAGTGTTGAATGGCCAGTGTTTTGGAAGGAGCCTGGAGAAGGGACAGGACATTATTACCTGCCCTGGGCTGCCTTGCGAATAGGCTGGCCTGAGCTCTTGGGCGTACAGCAGTGCCCACCAGCACGCAGGACGTGAGGCTGGAGGCATCCCAGCTATGCTGGGAAGCATCCCTGCAGGCAGGAGGAACAGAAGCCCCTCTCCAAAGAGCCTCACCATGCGGCCGTTCCCCCTCCTGATTAAGGCTAGTTGTGGAGTCTCCCACTGGTCAAGATTACCCACTGCAGGAAACTCCACATCAACACACTGTCCTTCCTTTCTTCCATACAAAAAAAAGCAAAAGACCATCTGCTGTGGTAGGAAGATAGCCTGGAACAAAGCCCCAGGCTGTGGCTGAGGTCACACAGCTTTACTGGCGAGGCCTGCTGTGTGCAGGGGCTGCCCCACACCAGGAGATCAGGAGTCTGCATGAAGGTGCCCTGCTCAGCTCTGAAATCGTCACCTTCTGAGTCATCAAAGTGGCACTGACTTACTGTCAACAATGCGTGGGGCTAAGTGCACTTTATTATGCCAATTCTTTGAAAATTGGTGTGGTCCATCAACAGCCTGGTGGGTAGGAAAGCCAGTTATCAGAATCACGGCTCCTCTACTTAGGAGGTGTCTGAGTCTGGGCAGCTTTCTTTGCTTTTCTGAGCTTTCATTTGCTCGCATCTAAAAGGGAAGTAACATGTTGAATGAGGTCACACTGTCCACGGCACAGGCAATCAGTCGATAAAGATGTCCTCTTTCTCCATGTATCAAACTCTGAGTTACCCAGAAAACCTCACCCCTTCCACAAATGAGAGTTGTCAAGAGGAGGAAATGGTCAGGAAATTGGAAAACCTGCTCATTTATTCAACAAGTGCATCTAACTCCATGCCAGCACCATCCCAGCCCCCAGAGGTAGAGCAGAGAGAAGAGATGGACAAGATTCCTACTCTTGTTTGACTGTGTCAGCAAAGCAATACGCAGCGCTTCTGCTAGCCACAGGACAAACAACATTGAGCTAAGCCAGTTTAGATCAAGGGCCCAAGGAAGGCTTTGCAGAAGTGGTGATGCTGGGGTGAGAAAGAGTGAGCTTTGTAAAGGCTTTGGGAAGACAATGGTCTCAGCAGAGGGAACAAAGCAAAGCCCAGGAGGTGTCTGGGAGAGAGAAAGGCAAGCCGTCTACCCCAGCCCTGGGAGAGAGAGGAAGCCTCAGGGAAAGAGGCAGTGCGGTCAGAAAGAAGCCACACCCTGTGGGGCTGAGAAGGGAGCGACCCGAGGGTGACTGGATGAACTGGGCCTCCGGAGGAC